CAATAATAGTTCAAGTCTTGCAGTTCAGATATATACTGAGTTATATACTGGGTTGATGAGAATTAAAGCTTGATATATAGTAATAAAACTAGTGATCTAGAGATGAATAGATTGGTGTATGGAGCACAATATTTTCCTGCCACAGATTAGAGCAAGGATACTAGTCCATAAAAAGGGAAATATACCATTAAATTTCCTTTTCACTTGTTATGCATGGAGAGCTATAATATGTATAGTTTTGTGCACAAATGCATGAAAACAATAAAGACCTTTCTTAACATCAGAAGATTCCTGACTTAGGCAAAATTTTTTTCACCTTGAAAGAAAACTGAAGTAAAATTAAGCTAAAATTCCTATACATGACAGTCCGTGCCAGATCCTATCAATGCTGATTTCAGTGGCATTTCATCTGTTCCTATAGATTTTGCGTTCAATTTTGTTTTTTTAAAAAATATAGTTGTCAGATACTACAGAAGGCAAATAAAAAGCATATCTGTTTTTGGGCTGGCAAATAAAATAAAAATTCCAAATGAAGTTTATCGAGTAAAGTGGCTTTTAAAAATTTATTTTCTTAATATGAATGAATTGCATGACTGAAACCAGTTTAGCAGTACCATTAATCAGGTCTTTTGTCTTGCTAATATAAATCAGTCAATAACAACAGATGGGCTGTACACTTTATTATGTGGAAATAAAGATGAATGTGACATACTGCAGAAGTAAACTTGCAGCTCAAAGTTGCTGAGCACAGAAGGGGATTTGTTACAACAGGGGAGAACAATGTGTGCCTTGTATTTGTGTTTGATCAAGGTTGTAAGGGGAACTTGCTGCACATGACATTGACATAATGATTGGAAATCAAGTATGTGAATTTTTAGTGGTTTTTTGTATCTACATGCCCAGATCTCTCCCAAATGGTTTAATTAGCTTTTTTCCTCCCGACAGAAGAAAAAAATGTCTAACTACTTAGGAGAGTTAAATAAGAGAATTATAAAGTTTGCTGCTTTGTTGCACCATTGGGAGATGAACATTTTAAATAACCAGCGATAGCCATCAGGAAGATGCAGATCAAAGTCTGAGGCATGATTTATCACCTCATATAGCAGTGGAGCACACAATGAGAGGCAACTCCCATCCAAATTATAGAAACGGGCCCAGCAGGCCGCACCATTATAACAAAATCATCCCTGAAGAAGCTAAGTCAGAGTTTAGTTTTTGTATGGAGAGAGGAATGACCTGTGTTTGACTGCTGCTGGTCAGGAGAAACTTTGATGGAAGTATTTTTTACGTTGTTGGAAACTGTGTCCTCATAAAAACACAGATTTTTTAGGTTGCTTTGGTGTTACCAGAAGCTGATTCTGCAAAAAAATCTCAACATGATCAAATATCCTTTATTCACGTTTTCTGTGTTGGGTTCTTAGGAATATTTTGGCACATAGTTACACTGCCATTATAATTTTTGCATATTGCTGTGAGCATTACAATGAAATCAAAACAGCATATTACTGTAATTAAAAAAAAATAAATGCAAGACTTGGATCCAAGATGTGTTAAGGTTGATGGTTCAAAACCCTGTCCCAAATCAGCAGCTGAATTGGCTGACTGTCCTAAGCTGTGCCTGGTGTGATGTGCAAGCCATCATGAGGGGCTTTAATGTTCTTCCTCTTCAAAAGATCCTCATCCTGAGAGGCAAATACCACAGCCTGGCACAGGGAAAGTGGGGCTGCACACCCTCTCTACCTGTAAACCACCATCTTGCCACTTCAGCTGGTGGTGAATGGTGTGCCTGGGTGGGAGGAGAGGGGTGCTTTGCTGCCCATCAGCAGTTGACCTCATCTCTTCAGGGGAGGCAGGGAACACCAGGTGACTTCCCCCTGTGATTCACAGGCTGATTAAGCCCTCAGTTACCTTTCCACAGTGAAAAACAGGAACAAGAGTCCCTCAGTGCTAATGGAGGTAGGACTAGCTTTGCAGTGGAAGTGGGATTTTTTTCAGCCAAACCTAGTCATGGTCGTATTCTATATACTCCTATTAAGAAGCTGCTCTATAAAAAAAGAACACCATTGTTACTCCTAATAGCAACAGTAAGAGGACAGGGATTGAATAAACATACTCCAGTTTAAAAAGCAAAAAAAAATTTTTCTTAGCTACTATCTTACATTTTTTCTGAAAGTGACAGTTTTAAATTCCTGTTTCCAGGGACTTGGCAGCCTTTGCACACTATTTGTATGACAGTTTGTGAATGGTTTCCATCTATATCCCTAACATTTAAGAGCAGTTCAGATGCCTCTTGATAGCAGTGAGAAAGAGTGTGGAAAAATAAAGCTGAGCTTTATTATTGTTTAAGAAGAGTAAGGAGGAATCAGAGCAAGAAGACAATAAGAAAACAGGCTTGTACCTGACTGAAGGATTCCAGGCTGGTGGAGAGAAGCTGCTATCACCACAATCAAAATGTAGGACTAGATTGTCATGTACAGGGCAGTACTGTGAATCCACTTTAACATACAAATAATATTTAAACTTTAGAAGCATTTACCTTCAGGAGGACAAGCCAAAGCCCACACACACATTTTTCAGGCTGATTAAAGAAATAATTTTTTAAAACACCTTTTTTCTTTTGTTGCAGCTAGCTGATCCCTCCTTTTAGACTTTCTAGTTATCTTTGATAAGTTGCAGTTAATTGGTCAGGCAGTGTAAGTATTGCCTTTGATAATGTGCAGAAATTTAGTGGTGAAAATAAATACATTTGTTCTTCCAGTCACCAGAAATTAGTGAAGCGATACTTGTTTAATTATAAAACATATGTGTGCTTTGTTAGTTTCCATCTGTCTGCTCGCTGATTTGCAATTAAATGACCAGAAGAAAAAGATACATCCTGTGGCAATTCAGGGGAAATGATTCATCTCTAATGTTTCTGTGTTGTGGATGTCTATGGAGCAGTGTGTGTGAGAGGGAGACAGAGGAAGAGGGGGAGATATGCATAGAAGGGGATGAGGAATGCTGAAAAGCCTCTTGATTCAGTTCAGACATGTTTCATTGTCATGAAACCAAATGAGGACTCCCAATAACTTACTGTAACTCATTTTCTCTTTGGAAAAAGATGGGGAGCAAAATGGAGCAGGAAAGAAATACCTAATGAGGAGAGGAAATGTGATTGCAGAAGAAGGAGGCTGGTGTGGTCAGAGTGAAAAAGAAACTACAGGAAAAAAAAAGAAGAATTGGAAAGTGATAAAAAATTAAATTTAATTTGAGTATCTGGAAATGATTAATCGGAGATGGAAATGGAATTGTTATAGTGTTTCACATATTTTCCCTTTGCTAGAAAATTGTCAGATTTTATTTATTGACCCTTTCTTCTATCTCTGAACCCGTTCACTTCTATTAACTCTCAGGGAGTGATGCAGTAGTGAGTCAGGCCTGATATTCCTTTTAAAATGAGACACCCAGAAGGACAGGAGTATTTTTAAATGAATATGAAGGGGAAAAAATGAAAAAAATGGTGAACATATGTTGTCTTCATAAATAGTTCAGGAGGTTCACAAAATCGTTTGCTGTGTAAGGTATTCCCCTCACCGATAAAGACGTACAGTCTACCTTCATATAGCTGCATGGATGTGTATCATATTACCTTCTTCCCCTCTCTCCTTCATCTGTTCTTGTTCTTTTTTGTCCTTCTGAAAAGAGTGGTCTGGAAGGAGAGTCATGCCCCTTGTAATTCTGGACACGGCCTGCAGAGCCATGTCTCAGGTTCGGGGAAGTAGCCGTCAGACATTTCATCTTCCTGGAGACTGGCAGGGAGAAGGTAGCCAGCCTTCTGCAGTATTTTTAGTTTGATGTTCTGCGGTGTTTTATTGATCAGTATCAGCGTCCGTCACTGTGTATAATGATAACTGCCTCAGAAGCAGAAAGGGGAGATTGAATAAGGCCTTCAGGACTGTCAGCTTGCTGGTGGAGCATCCGTCAGTAGTTGGTGTTCCCCCACCTCTTTACTTCTGTAAAGCCTCTTGCGTATTCCTGTGCTCTGAAGGCAGGTGGAGAGGTGGATGGGAAGAGAGTTATTCTCCATTGAATTTGGTGCTTTCTGATGTGGAGGACTTTTTCTGCAGGAAGGGGCAGAGGGGTTGTAAAGGAGGATTTGTGAAGAAGTAGGGAGAGAGAAAGGAAGGTATGCATGTTAGGTGTTTTCAGTGTTGCCTCCTGTGCAAGAGATTCTTTTCGTCCTTCTCTGGACTGCTTACATTGACTTTGTTCATTACCATCAGCAGCAGGGAGTGCAGATGTTCCTTGCACCAATAGCATGTGTCCATTTTGGCCCAAAATGTCACTGTTTCACAGCTGCCCTGCCTCATGTCCCAGCTCACAAGTCCTCTCTGTAGCAAGGACTGCACAGACAAATGTCCTACAGACAAAGTACGTAAAGCATAGCTTGGCACCTTCATTAGCAGTCTTAGCAGGAGAGTCAGAGTATGAACAAAGAGGTGCAGACTGGACTTGCATTTAGTCTTTTGCCCTTAGAGGAGATTTCAAATTGCTCATCTGAAACGAAAGGTGCTATTTCCTATTTGTACCAGCCTCAGCTGGCACTGGCTGTTGCACGCACCTGATTAAGCATTGTGATAAGTCACTATTGAAAAGTCTGACCTTGAAGCCTCCAAAAGTTTCTATTATTTCTTTTTACGGTTTTGCAGGCAACTCTCCCAAGCGCTAACATAATGCTTTATTGCTAGTATTGCTGCTGCTGATAACAAAGGACCAATCCCAGACGTGTGAATGTGCACATCCCTATCACATCACATAGAGGAAAGAAAGCTCAGGATGTAAAGAACAATTTCTTCTTGTATAAAAACAGCAGTGCATTTTAAGCCTCAGTCTAGGAGTGCTCCAAAGACAACATTTTATTCAAAAATGATGCGCCTTTTGAAATTTTCAGGAAGGGTTTGCAAGTGTTTGGCAGCTGAATTTTGGTTGTTTCATTTGTCCTATTTGTCCCTTCTCTACAGATGATGATTTTTTTCATGAACTTCCGGAAACTTTTCCATCTGACCCCCCAGAGCCATTGCCCCACTTCCTCATCGAACCCGAGGAGGCTTACATTGTGAAGAACAAGCCGGTGAATCTGTACTGCAAAGCAAGTCCAGCAACACAGATCTATTTTAAGTGCAACAGCGAGTGGGTTCATCAGAAGGACCATGTGGTGGATGAGAGAGTAGATGAAACCTCTGGTGAGTTTGTGTTATGTCTTGAAGGGATGAGAATTAAAAAGCATTAATATCAAGCCCACTTTGTAATCTACCAGCTGTTTCATATGGCAGCTACTTTTCTTCACTCCTGATACAGCTGTGAATTCTGTATCTGGCATTACAGAACATTACTCTCATAGCATAGAGGTGGTGTCTGCATGCAGGTCAGTTAGTGAATTGCAGTCAGTTGTAGAGCACCCTGACCAAGTTTGAAACCAAATAAACCAGGAAAACCATGCACAAAAAAAATGGAATTGCTTTCTTAGACAGCTCTACTCTCTACTCACTTCCCCAGTGTCACAAATGCACAGTGGTTGCACTGTGTTGTCACAGACCACATTCTTCCCAAAGTGTCAAAGAGCAATTAGGTTATTTCTAGAATGATGTTTTCTTGGGGAGATATGAGGAAAAAAAGGAGAAATTTAATCAGCTTCCAGCAAGAAAGAAGGAGAAGGCACACCTGGGCACACTTTAGAGCAGTGTATTGATCCAGAGCAAGCACCTGGCCGTTATTCATTACACTTTCCTGCCTGTTCTTTAGAGCCTGTATGAAGGAGAGCTACGGTAGGTTAGCATCCTTCCTCAGTTAATACCAGAAATCGCACTGACATTCATGGAAGTAAAACAGGATCCTCAGTATCAAAAAAAAAAAGTTTTAAGAATTTGGGTAATAAACCAGTGTTTGGTAAGACTGGTAATCAATAGAGTTTGAGACACATGCAAGGAGAGAAGCAGAACTTACTGCTGTTTTGATGGCTCTGAGAAATAACTGGATACCAAGCAAGAAGGTACCTTTCATTTGGGAATTACACCACCACTTGGTCTAATTACTTTGAAAAATAACTCTACCAGATGTTTTGGAAGTCTCTTGTGAACCGGGTTTTATTTGTTTTAGCTCATTTATTTGCACAGAGATCAAAAGCATAAGCTTTTCTTGATGCTCCCACTTGAAAAAGAGAAGGTGGGTGTAGGAAAAAAGGCTGTAGAAAAAAGTCTGTATTAAACTTTGGGCCTGTTTGTTTGTTTGTTTGTAAGAATTGGCTTTTCCACAAGTTGACTGTAGCATAAAAACTAAAAGAAACAAAACAAAAATAATTGAGTTCCTTAATCCATCTTCAGGGGAGGCCAAGGGAATGAAAAAGGACAAACAGGAGGACATCTACGACTGGGTTAATTTTTTAAGCTTTTATTAACATCACCATTTAGAAACAGGAAAATGTTTCACTAGAGATGAAAAATTCATTCTTTTTTCTCAAAAATCTCATCGTGGGAGAACTTTGTGATGCCGTAAAGCAAATTGCATTCTACAAGTTGTAGAAGACCAGTCTTGAAAATTCAAGATGCACCAGAATATATTAGAGAACAAATGTTTTGCATAACAAACAGCAGTAATTATATGCAAATGAAAAACATATCCAATTAAAGATTAAGATAATCTACTGGAGTTGGGTGAGGGGAAGAGGGTGTCAAAGCTGTGCACATCAGATTATTAGCACAAGAGCCACAAACCTAGTCACAGTAATAGCTTGTTAAAATGAAACTGTCATCAAAACCCAAATTTGTCATTCACCCTGGTTGTTGCCAGAATATTGGTTAATGCATGTCACAACTGCAGTGTTTGTGCACCTTCCTGTAAGCAGGCTCAGAATCTAGGGCTCATGGCACATAATTGTTAGAGAAATGGGTAATTTATTTAAGGTAGCTGTAAAATACTATCTTCTTCAAAGCAATGGAAGCTCAGGAAAATATATTTGCTGCAGAGGAAGCCAGAGAAAAAAATTGCAGGAGACAGTGACTGTGAGAATTCATTCTGGTGCCCAAAGAAGGAAGGTATTGGCTTGGCAGCTTGTATTGCAAAGCTCTTTGACTCTATCACTTTTGAGACTATTTTGGTTTCTTTTGCTATTTTTGACTAGCTATTGCAGTTGTAACCTAGGGCACAGCAGTAATGACTGAGCTGCTCAAAGGGTGACGTAAGGATGGCAGTCCAAGCCTACACTGCTGCTGCTGCTGCTGCCTTCAGAATTGCGAGAGGCAGGAGAAATTGTCCACACACCAGGTTAGGTCTAGCCTTTATATGGGGGACCTGGGACTCAAAGGGATCTCAGTTACACAGTATTTCTGCTGGGTCTGTTGTGTGATCCCAGCAACTGAAAACTAGGTGCTTTGTTTTTTTCTGGTATTTTACTGTTCCTAAGGTCTCTTCTGCCTCCTTATGAAGAGGAACATGCTGAGGAGGTATTCTGCTGCTGGTTTTGAACCAGGCTTTTTCTTTCAGTTCTTTGCATAGACAAGCAAAGCAAGGGAAAAGAAGGCAAACAGACAATAAAATATGAGAGGAAAAAAGTAAAGGTCACTTTTGCTTTCTTTTCTAAAGGACGGGTAATCAGGAAGAAAGCGAACTAAAATACAGGTGTGATGCTAGCAGTACATCATCTTGGGATTGTAAATGATGCATGAAAGAGAGAAATAGGTTTTGATTTGCAAAAGATTATGTGTTCATGGACTTTGAGCCTGTGCCCAGGAATGAAATCTATGTAGAGATGATTAACTCTTCTTATAAGGCAAATTTGTTTCTGTCATTGATAAGGCCAGAGAAAACAGCACAGCAATAGCAATGGTACAAGAGATGGAATGAGAGTGCAGCCAAGCTCTCATTGAAATGAGAATATAGAAATGTTGAATATATTAAGATGGTTAAGTTTTAAGAGGGGAAAATAAATATTTATATAATTTTCCTATGTATTTTTTTCTTTGTAACGGAGAGAAGGTACAGAATAAGAGCAATAGCTATATGCACTTTGCACTGTGGGATATTTTTAATCAGTAGGTAAACCATTGCTGTAAAGAACATGCACAGGGACTCTGTGGGAGTTGCCTTCTGGTTGGAAAGGATGGGAACTGTAATAGTGACAGGGTGTTCTAGTACCACTTTATTTAATTAAGTTGGCCTGAAAAGGGAGCCTTGCAAAATATTTTACACTGATTGAGTCTGAGAAACCAGAGGCTTTACTTTACACAGAAGATCATTACATTCTGTTTTTAATCCTCAGACTCACTGGAATTTTTCTTCTTTATGGAAGAGGCTAAGCATTTTCATAAACAAGTCAGATGTGTGCGTTAGAAATGTCTAGTGAACATCTTCGACTCTTTTGTTTCTCATGTACATGAAATACAAGGCAGGGCATGGTCTTTTTATTGTCTTTACTGGAATATTTTCCGATTAATGTGGAAAAGAAAAAGAACACTGGTTTTAAAAAACAAAGATGAGAGTTGTTTTGAGGGAACACATTTGATTTTATGGCTGACTGTCACAAAAGATAACAGCAACAAAAATAAAAGGAACACTGCAGAACTGATGCTTTGGGGAGGGAGGGGGCAAGAAAATTCCATTTTCTCAGGACAGGAAGTTCAATAGCATCAATAGTTGTTAGAGTAATTTGTGTTTCTGCACATTTTCCAAATTACCTCTGAAAATTACTATGACAAAAGATTTTTTTTCTGTAATGAGGATGGCAAAACACTGAAATGGGTTGCCCAGAGAGGTGATAGATGCCCCATCCCTGGAAACATTCATGGAAGGGCTGAATGGGGCTCTGAGAAACCTGATCTAGTTGAAGATGTCCCTGCTCATTGCAGGGGGTTTGGACTAGATGACTTTAGAGGTCCCTTCCAACCCAAACTATTCTATGATTCTATGGTTTTATTTTGCATGTGTGGTTTTTATGGAGAAATATTTTCTGAGACACACACACCAATTCTGCAGTGGTGGGAGAATTGCGAGTATATAGAAAATCAGTGTCTTACACCTCTTTCATTTGTCCAGAGGGATTAAATGCTGCTAAAGCAAACCCCACATCCCAGTGATGTACCAAAAAAACCCAGAAAAAAATCTGAAGCTTTTTTTTCTCTTTTCAATTTGTATATGTGTTGTAATACTTTCCCCATGACTGTTAAGGTAAAACGATCTATAAACCCCCTCTTGCCCTCTGCAAGGCCAGGGACATGTTCTTCTTCTCTCTCCTTCAAACAAGGAGAAAACATTTGTGACTCTTCTAAGTGCTAATTAAATAGACATATTGGGCAATTCAACTGGCATTATTGTTTGCCTGCATTGTCTGTCTTCTTTTGCTGGGCTGCATAGGGAGAGGAAGACTTGGGTAGTTTGCTGATGACCTCCTTCATGTTCCCAAATAGCAGCAAGGGTGAATAAGGACTCAAGGCTAGCCTGAAGCTCCAGCTAATGCAAAACAAACAGGCTGATCTGTCCAATCTCAGAGAAAAAGTATGCTGAGGCAGGCTCTCTAAAGGAAAAGGTGATGTCAGTAGTCCTTTTTCCCATGCTTAAAAACCTAATTTCCTCCAGGAGCATCCCCAGTGCCATACAGGCTTCAGCAAGGAGGATCAGTTGCTCCAAGGACTTTCCCTTCATCTGCCCCTTCAACTCTCTGCCTCCCCACAAATCAGCAAAAATGATAAAAGTTAGAATCTGTCTCAAAATAAGATTTTTGTCTGATTAAGAGGATTTATCAAACTGCACTGAAATGTAAAAGTATGCACTTCTTTTCAGACAAAAATCTCAGACTTCTTTGTTTCAGTTTCTTCACATAGCCACCACTGTGACTCCGGTGCTTACCTCCTACCGTTACCTTTCCCCGTTAATAAAGTATTTTTTGGATGACTTGCACGTTTGACAAAAGGAGACCAAGTTTTTGACATAGGGTCAGCATTGATCTGGCAAATAGGAGTTTGTTACCTTAAGCAATGAGTTTGGCAGCCTGTCGAGGGAGTAGGTACCCAGCTAGCTAAATCTTTAATAGATCACCTTCTCAACAGAAAGATCAAAGATTGACATCTGCCCTTTTGCCTTTAAAACATCTCTTACAAGATGCTGCAGCCGCAACAGCAGTGGGGAAACATTCACAGTGACTGTCTCTGCTCTTCTGTCACCATGTATAGAGGCAGGAAAATCACTTCCAGCA